AGGATTTGGGAGAGATAAAGCCCTTCAGACTTCACGTCATACAGCTTTCAGGGAATCTGAAAGGAACAAATCCATGCAATTGTATTTTTTTAATTCCTGCTTTCTACGGGATGTTTTACACCTTCTTCTGGAACTGTGTCCCCTTCTGATTGGTCTTGGAAACAGGAACTCAAAGCAATGTTGGTCACGTGAGCCTAGGCTGTTTTACCCACTGCTAAAAGATTCAGAGCGTTCCCTGTGGGACAAGACCAAGCAACAACATCTAACTAATACGAAGAAGCTAGTCCTAATTAATCAAACTGCTGAGTAAAGTAGTTCAGGTGCCAAATCTCGCAGGCCTAGCTTGAGGCTTGGTGTGTTGACTAAGAAGGAATAGTCTCTCGTGTTGAACAGACTGAATCTACATCTCTTATGGATGTTGATTGAGCTAGGAGTCCTGTTAATGTGAGATGGTCTCAGCTGTTCGGGGACAGACTCTGAGACTGTTTCTGCTATTCAGTAGGATCTTTAGATCTTTAAGGAACTGCATAGGAGAAGAGAGCCAGAGCTGAGCTTTCTGTGGCTAGCGCTGAGCACATTCAAACAACCTTCTGGTTTAAGAGCTACCATTTTTCTAGGAATACCCTCCGAAACATTCACGACACAAAATCCAGCGCTGCTCTGCATTTTCATAGCACTGAATAGGGAGAACCTATGGAGCCTGAGTGGTTGTTTCAATTCTACCGCTGCAAAACATGAATGAACGAAAACATTACTTTATCTTATTCTTGAGTAATGAGACTTTTTAAAGCATAATCAGAATTTTTCTGGACCGTGTCTCTCAAGTCTCCTGAGGTCTGAAAGCTACTCCAGATGTGTCTTCACAGATGGCCTTGGATGAATGCTGTGTAGACAGAATCACTGAATGGTTTTTGAATTAAATGAGGTCTGCCAAGGTGTTCAGCAGTCCCCTACTCTAGGCCTTGAGCAGCGAGCAGGGCATAACATACACCTGAATTATTCAGGACATCTCTAAACAAACCTTGGATGATCCCCATAAGCACAATTTCTAGAAGCTGCTGCTTTGGTTCCTGCCTTTCGCTGGGAACTGCATCAGTCAGTCCCTCTGAAGTCTTTTATAATTACAGCCTTTAATACGCCTCACATTTCATACTCGGTAACAAGCAAAATATCTCCTTCCCAAGAATAGAAGCAGCATGTTGTGATCGCAAGAATTAGCGACAAGTTCCTGTGAATTATTTCTGGGGATGTAATTCCCCAAATTGCTAATAAGCCATTGTCACTTCTCAAAAATCACGCTTTTCCACCCCCCTGGCCGCCGTCTCCTGGTTTTACTTTAATGCAGACTTGCTAAGAAAGACTAAACTTCCTTCCCTCTCCTTTAACACTCAGGAGAGCACTTCCTTTTGCTGACAGCAGTTGCCTCTAATTCCCAGTGATCTGGCATTAGGGGTATAAACACTGATTAGACTTTTGATTCAACTGACCGCAATTCCAGTGCTTCTGCTGAGTTCCCCAGGGGTCCATAGCAGCGGGATCGAGGTTTAAGGTGGTCTTGAGCAGCCTTTGCTAATGCTGTGGCCTTGCTGTCTGTATGTATTGCCATCACACAGGCCAGAAAAAATGCAGGGGGCTGGTAATATAGAGTGATGAAGGGGAGAGGGTAAGCCACCTATTTTGCCTTTTCTAGCTGCTTTGCCAAACCATCCCTTCCAAAAGAACTGCTCCTTTCATTTTCCTGCCGAGGGACCTTCCCCACCTATAGCACTGATAACTATTTATGGAACATCTGTGGGCAAAGGATAGCAAAGGAATTGCTTCATCAAGCCAGAGCACAAAGATTCCTCTATGTAACGACCCTCCAGTCTGTGCCTTCCCTCAGTCACCATGCGGTATGAAAATCCTTGCCTGTGCAAATCAAGGCAACCAGTCTTGAGAGATTTGCCCACGAACCTCACAGTTGCCGACACAGTAAATATAGAATCATGCTATAAATTCCACCAACTTGCTGCCTTGTAACTCCTAATCTTCAGGCCCACAGTGGGGATAGTGTTGTTTCTGCCTTGCTCGGTTAACAACTGTCCTGTTTCCATTTTGGGTTTTCCTCTTCCAAGGTATCAGCGAGCCCTTTGCTCAATGGCAGTACGTGAGCCTCTCTCAGTATTTAGTGCCCGTTTCCTAAAGCCAGGAGGGAGTCCCCCATCCAGAGATCTGGGACATGGGGGAGCAAAGTGATTTGCCTCTGGATAAGATGGGGGAACCGAGCCAAGGTCTTTGGCTTTGCAGCCAAGCTCTTTTCCTTTTTTACACAGATGATTGCTTCTTTCAGGGGCTAACAATGAAACACTAATATATTGTTGTCCAGCGTCCAGGTGAACTACTGAACAACAGGTGCTGAGCTGGAAGGAGTGATTCAAAGGCTTCTTAAATTTTGTTTCACAAATACCTTTAATGTTGTTTTTACAAGTGACTTTCCATTAGGTTGGGGGAAGAATGGCCACTGATTCTGTGGTGTAAAATGGCAGGTGGGCTTTGGAAGCATTTATAAAAATTGGGTTTAATCCAGATTGTGTGATTGGATTAGGTAGAAATCAGCTGGGAGGTTGTTCACTTGCTTTTCCCCTCAAAGTTTAACCATATGAAGAAAGTCTCTGGAGACAGTTTGTTCACTCTTCATTTGCTGATAGTCCCCAGTTCCTGGGAGCATCACAAATTCATAATGTGTCCTAGAGTGCTGGATCTCATCATTGCATTACTCTGTTTCATCAGGAAGATGTGTGAAACCCTGAATAGTAAACCAGCTTTCTCTCTGCCCCACCTGCAGGCAAGCCCAAGTGAAAATAAATTCCTAAGTAATTCTGAGATAAATTACATATGCTGGGCACCATTTAGAACTGACTGATTCTCTTTGAGAGGCTGAGGAATTATATGTGGGTTTCACTGGGTCTGCTGTTGTAAATGTAGAAAAGGCTATCCAAGTTCTTCCTGCTTTAGGGTTAGCAGGATCCAGAGTACAGCAGCTTGAAGGGAGACTTGAGCTCTATCACAGCGGGGTATGCAACTGTTGCAAAAAGATAAGAGCAAGGAGAGGTTTGACGCTAACACTGGTGTCTTTTCCCTTTCATTTAGGGGGAGCCGGGCCCTCCTGGTTTGCCTGGTCCACCAGTAAGTATTTCTGATCATCACCAACTTGTTCACTCTTGAGAAGGCAACGATACATGAGCACTAAGATTTATATCTGGCTGGCTTGCCTCTTGATCTGCAGCAGAATTCTTGCAAGGGGCTAGCATACCCTTCAGTACTGACCATGTCCTCCTGCTTCGTTGCTAGAGGAAGCCATGCCTGAAATAAAGCCCATCACCAATATAACAAAAAATGGCACCAAGCCACCTCTACGTGGTTATTTTTGTCATGAGATCTGCTTCACCTGCCTGGTCTGCCAAGGGGTGCTGAAAATTGTCCTTGTGGCATGGGTCTTTCCCTTGGGCCACACTGTGATGTATATACCCCTGTCCCTTTCTGCCTCTGTACTAGAAACAGCTTATGGAGAATTCAAGGAACTGAGCCACAGCACTGAAGTGTATTAGGATTTGGATATACGCTTATGAAAAGTTTCATCCCTCTAGAATAATTGTTCCGTGTTGGATGCTTTAAGATTAACATATCAATAAACGAACTTCCGTCTTCTGGTCTGCATCAACAGATGCCACGTTTCTGTGGTTATAACATTAAAAATAATTGTCTGTTTATCTGGTTTAGGGGCCAAAAGGTGCACCAGGGAAGCCTGGAGCAGCTGGTGCAGCTGGATTACCTGGTCTTCCTGGAGTGGATGTGAGTATTTTGCCATCTTCTCTTAGACTTTAAATATTTTATAGGCACGGGTGTTTCCCCAAAGCATCTCGTCAACTTTCATTGCGTCTGCTAGAAAACCAAAGTGGGTATTGGATCTACGTGTCTCGTGCGTTGGAGAAATTTTAAGAGGTGAAATTGCAGTTAGCACATTAGAAAGATCTCTGGGTTTTGCAGTGCCTGGATTTATTCATGCTGAAATCAAAACCTTGTTCATCACAGGTCAGTTATAGGATTTGCTCCAGGTGGTCTGTTTGGATCACATAATAAAACATTCTGCATTTTTATGGCAACAATGAGGAGAACGTATGTTAGCTGTCTTCATAGTTTTAGCGGGAGAACTTTGTATGCTTAGTATGCTTAACCATAAAGGAGACCTACCCCCTAAGCAACTTGTGTCTAACTTAAGAAGCAATGATATGAGAAGTAGCTAAGTAAACTGAACTAATTCTGTTTTCCTTCAAGTTCTGCTATAAATACATCCAGACTCCTAATCTGGGTTCACGATAAATGCCTTAAATCATGGGGTACAGGTAAGTATACGGCAGCATCATTCAGGGAGCTGCAGTCCCTAGAACTAGACTGCTTAAGGCTTCCTCTCAAATAATGTCTAGTTAACTGATATCCTTCTTCACACCTCTTGACCAGATCTTCACATTACAGTGCTGTCTATGAGAACATGGAAGCGAGAGTTGCCAGAAGTAGACTGTTTGCTGTTGTTCTCTTTGCCAAATGGAATTTGGAAGGTAGAAATTAGAATTACTGAGTAAATTTTCCTAGTGGAGAAGGTTTTACAGGATTTGACTCTTGAAGCCTATATTCCCAAAGTTAAACCAAGTCTTCAGAAGCCGAAACATCGTACGTTTCAGAAACATAGAGCTACCTTTTTTTTTTTTTCCTTAACATTTGTTAATAAGCTCCAAGTCGCAGTTAAAGCAAGCAGTATGAGAACAGTTTTCAGATGCATAACTGGTAGGGCAGCGCTCTTAGATTGAAACACTGCAAATCCTTAGAAGTGCCCTGGGCAGTTCTGCAGAAATAAGGGCATCTGTTGGCGTTTCTGGAGAAAGCCTACTGAGCCTCCTTTTGGAAATCCAGTCTCCCATATTAGCTGAGGCTTGCAAGTCACTGGCTTGGGTTTTTCCCTGCAGATCAGGACAGATAACTGCGTACTATCAGGTTTTCAGAGCTTGCCAACCTACTGCCATGGTAGCTGAGTGCATGTAAGTTTTTAGCTAGCACGTTTTCTTTAACAACAGGCTAGGAGGAAGCATTCCGTCAGCTTCCACAGCTAAGCTGAGGGACAGCAACTCAATAAACTGCAGTAACATGACTACTTTGTGGTTGTCCATCCGCACCTAAAATGCGTGGGGAACAACAGAGATCGATTTCCTTCTGGTCTTTCCTTTGTGACTGCATAGAGAGAAGGAACTTGGCTGGGTTCTCCTGAGACCTGGGCATCCAGGTGATTTGTGATGGTGACAGTGACTGGGATTTTCTACAACTCTTATTACTGTGTTTCTTCTCTGTCTTCACGCTTTCCTTTCATTTTCACAGGGTTTAACAGGAACTGATGGCCCACCTGGCCCAAATGGGCCTCCAGGAGATCGCGTGAGTACCGCATTAGACTTCTTTAAATGAACATTGTCACTGCTTGTAGTGACTTCTGGTTGCTTTGTGAGTTGGTGATACTGGGGAGTTGATGACAATGGCTTATTTACCTGTAAACCGTTGCAGAATATTAGGACCCTTGAAATGAAGCCCCAGGTGGCTTTTCTCTAAGCAGGGTGTGAGATCCATCTATCTTTTGCAGGGTTTTGAATGAGCTTGGGTGGCCTCAGTGGTGAGAATCCCAGTGCAGAACAGCTCTTGTGATATTTTGAGTGTCTAAAAAGTTCCTTGAAGCACTCAAGAAAACAGCGTGAAACATAGACTAATTAAGAAGTTTATCAAAGTGAAGCTAGTTTGGCCTTTATTTGAAGTCTGAGTACAGAGCCCTGTTATAATTACTGCTGCTGTGCATTAGCTGTTTAAACTTTTGCCTTTCATCGATTCTGGGGCTCTCCGTGTGGTTGGCGTTATTAGTTGCTTTAGCGTAGACTTTCCCACCCAGCATTGCAACAAACGAGGATTTTTTTGCTTCCTGCATATTGCAGCTCTGCCAAGGGAGCACCACAGGGATAGAGAAGTGGCTGCCTGAGATTTTTACAAAAGCCCTTCAGATGCTCTGTGATGGGGCCAGAAAGACACTTAAACCTCTATTATGACATTAAGAACAAAACATAAGTGAGCCATTTAGCATACATTTTATCCAACATGGCTGTATCCTTGTTTCTGGGTGTGGCAAGATAAGAGTTGCATCCGCAGCTTATTCCTTTTAATGATTCACTGGTCTCTTGAATTCAAGGGCTGCAGTAGGTGGGCTGAACTGAGATCACAGTGTGGAGAGGTAAAATGAGGTAGTGCTTATAGTGGACTTTTCTAACATGTTCCCTCTTTCCTATTAACTCTTCTTTATCCCAAGCAGTTACCCAAGGCGTTGTCTCCTTTAGCCGAAGAAATGGGTGATAGAGCCACAGGTCTTTGATACCATCTCCTTCCTTTCCTGGGTGCAAGGAACAGTTTCCTTGGCCACTGGGAAAGTCAAATGGCAGGCCCCAAGCGTCTTACTCACAGCTCCAAGCCTCCATCCACCAGCACTGCACTGAAAACTCTCTCCTTTGCTTTTTCCTCAGGCCCATCTTTCTCCCCAGAGATCCGTGACTGTGAAATCTTGACCACTCTCGGACTGTCTGTGGCAAGAGTCCAGCACCTTCTCAGAGTTGTACCCTCCTTTTTTTAAAATAGAGAAGTTCAGGACCACACACAGAAGACTGTAGACAGTTTTGTGCCTCATTTTACTCATGCTTGGGTAGTGTTTGCCCACTTTAGCACACAAGTTCCTAGTTGGCAGGGTCATTGAGCAGATAATTGCTGGGGACAAAAACTTCCTCTTCAAGTATTTAGTAGAAGCATACAAGCACACTATTTTAGCACACAGAATTACCTTAACTACATGCTCAGATTTGACATGCTTTCCCATGTCTTATAACTCAATCTGTCAGCATGGGGCAAACTTTGTACCTGTTGCCATTTATGGGAGCTTTTCAAGGTCAGTGGTCCATCTTGAAAATTGTTTTAATTGGTCTAATAAAAGCCTAGGAAAAAAGCTCTAATGCTCTGAAAGGATAGTGTCTTTATCCTGACTTTATTTCTTCTGTTCTGGTTTAAGAATGAATTTCAGTCTCACAGGAATCACTGAAATAGAAGCAGGCATTTACGGGCTCATGCTTAACACTGTGACTTCTTCTGAATAAGCACCTTTTTCTGGAGTGAGTGCCTAAGCATTTGGCATATGGCAGTGTGCTCATAGAAGACAGTCAGTTTTTAGTAATATAGAGCAAAAGAAATATTTATTATTATTATGTGCACCAGTTCAGGAGTCCAGCAGAGACTCATGTCTGACCAGGGACAGAGTACTGTGAAGATAGCATACCGGTCCTGTCACTCACAGGACTCAAGTTTCCTCCTCATGGTTCTGTTTACAGACTGATCAGATCAGGCCTACTTAGTCCTTCAGTAAAAAATAGCTCATTTTTACCCAGGAGGAAATGAGTTCGTACCTCACTGCTGGATGCTGATGTCTTTCACTGAAAAGTTTCTTAAGGCTATTCTGAAGTTCAATGCTTGACGTTATGAGCAATGCTGAAAGCGTTTCTAAACAATTGACAAAGTTCTGGTGCTTTAAGAGTACAGAATTACTCATATTTATTTATGGATTCAGAATGCTATGTTAGTCAAGTATTTCCCATGCTCCGTAGTTGTGTATTCAGAAATTATATTGCTTTAGAGAGAGAATTTGCATTGAGATTGTTTTCTAATCAAAAGAGAAAGAACATTGTTATCAGGAGAATGAGTTGCGAGTCAGACAATAAGATATTAAAACAGAGGAGTAAGTTAGGGTCCCTCCTTTGAACTTAACGGAGTCGCATCAGCTTGCTCAGGGATCTTTTACAGTACCAGGGATGTTCACTACTGTGTGTTCCATCTTAGACTCTCAAATATCAAAATTAATTGAGTGTAAAGTGCCAACGCTTGGCACTTTGGGTATGTCACAAACCTTCTGGCATCTGGGCCAAGTTGAAGGGGGCTATGCAGCTGCTTTCAGCGGGGGCAGGATTAGGGTGTAAGTCAGTAGCCACCAGGAATTCAGTGTTCTCATTTTACAGGAAGAGATCCCAGCTTGTCCCATAGGCATCAGTGGTTGTAAGCACTTTGGACTAAAGATAAAAGCGGCCAGAAGAAAAGCAGAGTAACATGCAGCAAGAAAAATGAATGAGCTGACATTTGCAACAGAGTTGATTTTTATTGGATTACAGTCCTTTCCTCACAAGACTGTTCTTAATGAGGCACTTGGGTCCTCGGGATCTTTCTCTTTAAGTTTAACAAGGGAAAACATTTCTAATCTCATTTGGTATGCAGAGCATTAGGAAAGGGCTGGAGTCATCCCTGGGATTACCAGCACGTGGTAGTGGTCTGCGATACTTTCCAGGTCTGCCCATCTATCTACCTTGTACTTGTGGGCCTAGGGAGGGATGCAGTTTTATTTCCACCTCAGGAACTAGTTCCCTAGGTGTCTTCTGTGCAGCGTTTTGAGAACCTCTGGGAAACCGATTTGGAGAACCCGGCTGGCCAGAGGCTGTGGCAGCCTTACGCTGTAGTCGCTCTTTGTTCCCTGTGTAGGGAGATGATGATTTTTCTGGCCTGAGTTTAAGTGTGTAAATAGTGGCATAGCTTCTATGTTTGTGCCTGTCACCTTCTCACTTACTAAGCTCTGCCTTTAGCAGAGAACAACGTCAGCCGAGAACAATACGAATGCAAGTTAAGAGCCGTGTTCAGCAGGGCCTCGAGAACAATGCGGCTCTTCTACAGCTCCTGAGCATCAGCACAGCTTGGAAAATTTCTCCGTGAGGGCTGTGTTAGTGCTGTTGAGCAAACTATTATTTCATTTATTGTTCACGCCAAATTAGACTGGCGCTCACGCACCTTCACCACTCCTTTTTTTTGTGCTTTTTGAAATGAATAACAAACTGATTCTCCCTTCGTCAGCTGCCCACCTCTGATTTTTCCGTTCCCCATTGCAGTTAAAGCTGTTTCCTGAGCAGGCTCTGAGACCTGAGGATGCCAGTCGGCAATGCACATACAGCATCTCTGGGAAATACCGTCACAGGTCCCCGTGCACAGTCCTGCAGTAACACTGCCGGTCAGTCAAAACGCTCCTCCAGGGAGAAGACCTTTCCATGTCTGGCTTTTGGGTTGCTTTCTTCAGGCAACCCGCTAGCTGGTATCCGTAATGAGTGTTGCAGAAACGTTTCTGAGTTTTTATCCTCTAATGGATCAGCTTTTTAGTGGCTTTGTATTATTTTCCCTTGACAATGGTTACTGGTCTACAATGGGTTTGCGTTGGCTCGTACTTCCTGTGCAGCTGTTCCTTCTGCTTCAGAAGTACTGAGTGACTGCAGACTCGTTAATGATGTTAATTTTTCCACCTGGGTGTAGCAAGCTGTAAATAGTTCACTCCAGGGCCTTTGACAGCTGCCAGCTGTGGTTTAAGGCCCTGATGCAATATTAGTTTGGGTCCTGTCATTGTATTCTGGCTCTTCACAAGATGCCCAGAAGCTCAGCTTTTGCCAACTGAATTCAGACTTTGAGCTCTGATCCTGCCAAGATTTGCATACCTGTATAGCATTAAGGACTAATACAGGTTTTATTATGCCATGCAGCCATAAAATTTGTTTCTTTGAAAGCACCTTATATTGCAGTGAACTGTTTTTGCCAGGCTTGTTGACCAAAAGATTTTTTTTTTTAAATCACACTTTCTATCTTCCTCATACAGAATTTGGTTAAAGCTTAGCAGATTTCTTTATATCACACAACCTTGACTTTTGTCATGGCATATGGTGTTTTTTTTTTTTATAGATGGTTCTTTGAGTGGGATCAGTTTAATGCAGAAATTCTCCCAGCCTGGCCCAGCTTTTTGAACCACTCTGAAGATGTTCCCACATTTATCTCTCTAAGCAGCAGTCACAAGACAGCAACAAGATCTGTAGCAAGCGTCCTTTTAGACCCTCATTCTTGTGTGCTGTCACACTTGTGTACTTGTCTATATATAAATAAGTATATATGTATTTTTAAGGAGGAGGAAATGCCAAGCTTAGTCACTGCAGTCCCAGGGAGAGGCATTACAGTTGCTGATCATCTCTGCGTTGAGACTTATCCTCTTGCTGACTAGTGTTTTATTTATAGTGAATACTGCCTTGTACTTGCACAAAAACTAAGCCTATAATTATTGAAGCGAAGGGGTCTGGAGATCATATCGTTCATCAGCCACCACCTCTGAGCCTGTAGAGTCATTTATTTGATTAGAGAGGAAACATGCTTTTCTACAACACCAGTGCACAGCCGTCCAAATCCTCTGTATGATTTCACCTGCCAAAACAGAACTGTTGAAAGCCAGTCTTTCCATAACCTGTTGTCTTGCTTCACCTTTCTGTAGGCTCCGTGCAGTCAAATACATCGTATAATGAAGCCTCTTTTATTTGTGCATTTTATACTTCCACTTTCTATTTCAGAATTACCAGCTGTAATTAATTTTACAGTCTACTGTCCAGAGTTGGCCTATTTGCAACATAACAAAGGGATTAAGAAGGCCCATCTGTCATATTATCTTTAGTTAAGCAGGAACTTAATAACTTTAAGAATTACTTAATTTTAGACTGAGACATAAGATCACTAAACACTAGTCAAGCTTTAGAATGAGAATGCAAATTGGAAAAAGGAGATTGGGGATTTGCCAGGGAAGCTAATGAAAAAGCGGAAGCTGCCAAATCACAATGTCTTTGCTTGAAGGGAAAATGTATGAATAAATAAAATTCACTAGAACAAGTCCAAAGCTTGTAAATAGTTTCAGATAATTTAGTCATCAGATGTATTTCATGAAATAATTTTGAATTTTTAAGTGAATGAGATTGACTTTATGAACCTTTACATATTCGTGGAGACTAATCTGAGGCCTGCTATGATTTGCAGAAATGCATGTGTAGTGTTTTAGGAGCAGCTCATGATCTAATCTTGACTCTCCGATGTGCCTGGCAAATGGTGAAGAAAGTTGCCGGGGGCCGGTTCTGAACGTCTCTTCTGTCTTAAAATGTTCTTCAATCAAGTATTAAATCAGGAACATCAGTGTAACATCAGTGTCATTATCCATAAGTTTCTGTCTTTGTATCTGTGAATTCAGCTGAGCATTTGTAATTGTATGTTGTTTCTATAGAACCCTGCTGGATTTTTTTTTAGTAGAAGTTGGTGTCAAGCAGAGCAGACATTGGCGTTCTGCCATGTGGGAGTTTGTTTCATCTGTAATAGACCTGCTAATTTATATTCTGCTGTTTTATTCCTGTAGGGTGCAATAGGACCTGCTGGACCACCTGGACCAGCTGTAAGTAACTCTTAGAGCAGCATATATAAAGATGGTGTGCAATGTTATGTGAAAACCCATCACCAAGAGCAGATAGAAGCTCAGTATCCTAAATAAAGGGATCAAGTTCAAACGAGCAAAAGAATTGATTGAGATTGTTAAATATGCCTGTTTGACCTGTTCTGGTAACCCAGTGCCTCTTCTGAGACTGAGATGATGTAAAGCAATGCAGCTTGGGATAAAGACTGGTATGTCAAATGCTCCTTCTATTAGATAGTGTTTTTGGTATTGTGAAAGAAAAAGATTAGCCTAGTTCATATATTGAGCTATTCAGCTGCCTAAACGTTCCTGGTCATTCTGTATTTGTTTTGAAATCCATATAGCTTTGTTAAACACCACAGTATTTGTTGGCAACACATTTAATCTTAGCTGTCTGGATCAATGGAATAATAGAAGAATCATGCTATGTTGATGATCAGAACTGGTGCCTTTGTTTAAGGAAAAAAAACAAAAAACAAAACCTTAAATCCTTTCCTTCAAATTAGATGATGAATGTATATCCACATTCACTACCAAGCCTAGTGACTTCTAAACGTAACTTCTCAGATCAATCTATTTTTTAATGCTGCATCTAAAAAGATAGTATCTTTAAGGCTAGGCAAACTAACAGCCTTTTCCAGTGATTATTAATATCTCCGTTTCTTGATGAAGTGATCAAGCAAGCTGAGCCTAGTTGTGGAGCTTATTGCACCAAGTCAAATACTTGTGTTCCTCAGGTATCATGAGCTGGAGGCAGAGTACAGAAGTGGTCACTACACCATGTTTCTTACCTGTGTAAATGTGCTCTCTGGGCACAGGAAGAGAGCAGTCGAGAAGGACTAGCTAGACACTTGCAGGTGTGGCACTGCAGAGAGTCTAGGTGTCTGTTGCTGGATGGCCACAGTTAACTTGATATCCTACTCTCTTGCCACTGCTCATAAATCTTGCATCACAGGACTTTTAGCAGTTGTCAGAAAAGCTAAAAAGCAGGAAAGGTAGATAAACAAATTTAGAATGTTGTCTTCGTAAATGTATGTGTCCCACTGTCATCATATGTGGCTTTCTTTAGAGAAAAGAGATCTCTTAGGTGACAGGGATGTCGGAATATGAATTATAAAAGGTAACAAAAGGATTCGGTGAAAGACTCCAGCTCTGCTCTGATTGCAAATTACAATAACTGGAGAGAGGGGAGTGCTAAGGAAATTTAAAGAAAAAAAATGAAAGAAGCACTCTCTGAGGTGCTGCTGCTCTTCTTCATGTGTTCACTTTCTAAGTGATCTTTTCCTGTTTTTAATGTTGATTCCAGGGCAAAGGACTACCAGGACCTCCAGTAAGTAATGATACCCTTTTTCAGGAAAAAGAAGGTTTAAAATATTGTGTTAACTTTATTGGGTACTCTGCGTTTTTTGGCCAAGTGCTACACGTCCACCCCAAGCCTTGGGTCCTTTTCCTGTGCTGGACAGAGGGATATGGAGTTCTGCATGTGGGTAATGCATGTGGGTTTTTTTATGTTTACCCTGACCCCAGAGCAGTTGGCCACTGGTATAAATTCAAAGCACGGCAGCTTTGCAATTGCTGGAGGTGGCCATTTCTGGAGCAGCTTTTGTTCAGCAGATCCTGGGCTACCTCAGAGCTGTCCTGTGCCAGAGAGGAGGGAAAGCGTTGGTAACACATTGTGACAATGGGAGCTTGCTCCACAGGGAGATGGAGCAAAAGAAAAGAGTGTGCATCGGTAAACTAATTGTCTGGGAGTGGGATTGGGCTCTTCTGCAGGATTAAACAATTGAGTACAACCAAACTGTTCATCCCTGGACTTTGGGAGCTACGTGAGGTCACCACAGGTGTAAAGTTCCCCCCTCTCTCTTCAACAGGGGCCTCCAGGACCCAGTGGACTCCCAGGTGGAAACGGATTTCGGGGTCCTCCTGTGAGTTTCTCTCACCATTTGATCCCCACTTACTGAACATGCTGCAGCCACAGAAGAACAAGGTTCATTTCTGGCCCCTTATTCTGGTCTGGAAGCATAATGAGCAAGACACTGTGCAAGCTCTACAAAAGCCCATGCTGTGCTAGTCACTGTATCAACTTGTGTAGAGTAACTCCAGTCAACCAGTGCAATGCCAACAGCGTGCAACTTCTTGCAGCTATATCTTCCTTTACCGACTATGAGCAATAACAAAAGAGCGTCCAATGTCCCAACAACAATGGTCAGTTAGCAGCTGTCCTGAACTTTCTTTCTTGAGAGGTTTATTCCACCTCTGTAAGTATCCTTGATAGGAAGCAACAGAGCAAAATTGGTCTGATCCTTTAATCTGACCGGGCCCCTTCTGCAGAAGCAAACTATTATTTTGAGTGCCCACAACTCCACCGGAAGTACAGAGCCACTGAAAGCAGGAACATAGGTGCGGGATGTATTCTCTCATTCTCCTTCTTACGCTTGCTCATGCGTCTGCTGTTCTCTTTGCAGTCACATAATCCTTTGCAGAGAGAGAGGTGCAGTTATGCCCCCTTAGAGATATCTTGCCCTTCATTCACAAATATGCAAAGGTGTTTGGTAATCACCCTTCTTTTCCCTTCACATTTTCATTCAAGTATTTCATATGGGAAATTATTATTTTTTCTCACTCTTTTCAGGGGCCTTTTGGTCTACCAGGTTTCCCAGGGCCTCCTGGACCTCCAGGACCTCCCGTAAGTTGAGACTTGCAAATAAGTGTGAGAAAATTCCCCATGGGGAGTTTAGGATTGTCTCCTTACTGCCAGAATGTGCATGTTTTATTTGCAGTTACTGCTGTGAGCCTCCCTTTCCAGGCTAAATTTCAGCAGGCTGTAAACACTGTACCCAAGTAGTGCAGTGACTGTTCAGTGTAGTGCAGTGACTGTTCAGTGTAGTGCAGTGGGCTGCACTTCTGTGTGCTGATTGTGTCCTATTTGTTATTCATGCTATAAGGGGTCAAGGAATCTAGCAGCTTCCAGGCTTGATGGCGTCGACATATCACAGGGTAGACTTTTTGTCCTCTCAAGAAAGAGCTGATTGGATCATTACAGCGTTTATCTTTCTCTCACGCTGCACTCTTGAGAGAGGCCCCTTGCAAGGGGGGTTGAGCCTGGCACTGCAGTCAAGTGTCCAGCTGCGCTAGCGAAGCCTGGGGAGGTGTGATGGGCATCACACATGACCCAGCCCCAACATGGGGCAAGAGAGTCCTGCCACGAGGCAGCATGAGAGCGGGTCGCTCAAGCTCACAGCAAGCAGGGCTTGAGACTAGCAGGCCTTCTTTGGGCTCACTGCGGTTTCTCTGGAGAATCAAATAGCGGGGGCCGGAGGTATTTCCCTAGGAATTTCTCTGGGCCTGGAGGAGCGGCTTCTCAACCACTGCCTTCATGACCTAAGGCTTAAGGCTCTTCTCTTAGCTCAGCTGTGGGTCTCCAGGGGGATAGAGATGACTGGCAGGTCTGCTTTGAGGACTGCAGCTCATAATGCTTGTGACAGCTCTGAGTTCAGGGACTGCAATTTGCTCTGTGTGACTAGGTATCCAGTGTATGTTGATTCAGCTGTGTCTGTAAAGTGTGTGTTCTAGAGACCATGCTCCCTGCTGTTGTCATGATGTGTTGCTGTCTTGTGGTATTGTCTTGATGTATTTAAAAGAGCACATTTCATGAACTGCAGGGTCTTCCAGGCATCCTTCCTGATGGCGGTGGGGATCTTCAGGTAGGTTTTTCTTTATGTGGCATGAAAATATTTTTTGTCTCAGTCCCTGATGTGGCTTTTTGTTGGCATATTTGGGTGAAATCAGACCATTTAACATGGACCAGTCAGACCTGTGGACCCGAGTCTAACTGCTATATCATAAAAGCCCCCTGCACGCATAACTGTTTACAAAACGGAGGTGTTCTTTCAAGGAGGTGGATATAGTAGGACTGATTTTGTGCTTGATCTTGCTTTCCAGTTTGCTTTCCAAAATGCAGGTTTTGCATACGTTCCTCAATTGCCCGTTTAACAAAAACGGCTTCAGCGTTTGACAAACAACAACAACTTTTTTTGTGCGTCTCTTTCCAAGCCTGCTTTATAAAAGAAGAGGTTGTGCATGTTGCACTGTTTATTTCCATGGATGATGGTACTGTGTTCCTATGGGCTTATGCTTTGTTTAGACATTCTTCTTTATGAGAAAGTCTCAATCCCTTTATTTCAAGGGAATAAAAGGAGTGTTAAGCCAATGAACGATGGAAGTGACATTTCCAGATTTCACAGCTGTTGTTGTGACAGCATCTTAGGTTTTCTAATTGGCGTGCCCCAAAAAAGCTCAGAGTCTGTTTAGACTGCCTTATGGCAAGTCACATAGAACTTAATAGAAAATGATACTATTTCTGCAATTTTTATTTAAGTTACCTTTTGGAATATACTAGAAAATTGAATTCCTGCTGAAGAGGTATAGCCTGAGGTTTAATTCAAAGAAACAAACAAACTGCTGAAAAGAAATCTTATTCCCTATTTACATTTACACAGGTTTTTGGAGCACAGGCTCTAGACCCCCTATTAAATTTCCATATGTGTTCTGTTTTGTTTCCAGTTGAAGTGGATTTCTACTAGGGGCTCACACAGCCCTAGATATCTACAGATACCAGCTTAGTGGTATTTGGATTAATTTTTTACTAGGTCCCCTTCCCATAATCTCTAATGCATGTGCTTTTTTTTTTTTTTTTGATTCAGTGAGTTGCATAAAATTAAATATATGTTCCTAATGGTTTGCAAGACGCAGGTGCACTTCACTGGAGGACTGTGGTTCTCCCAACGTTTTGGGCTGTGGACCACTGTCAGCCCTCAGAATTTCTCACAGTCCATTCTGAACCTTTCCAGCAAGCTCTGGATTGCAAGCACTCTCAAAGTGAACCAGACCGGTTGTAAGCCATGATTCTTGTGGGTTACCTGTAGCCTGAGGACTAGTTAGGGACGCCCTGCCGTAGGAAAATGCCAGTGGATATATCATTCCATGAACGAATTAGATATAGTGGATGTAGAGCCAAAGTCCACTAATGTGTGTTTCCAGACATGGCCTTTTTTCCTCTCACTAGTAACCAAAGTAGCTTCCCTAGATGCACTGCATGTACTTAATAAACCAGAGAGTGCTTCTGTTTCTTGCAGTGCCCAGCTTTGTGCCCACCAGGTCCTCCAGGCCCCCCAGGAATGCCAGGGTTCAAGGTAAGAGAAATCCCTTCTGCAAATAAAAGGTACTGCCTCCTGAAATAAATGCTGCTATAAACCCTCGGGCAAAAAGTATCACTTGAGCTTACACTGTTTTATATACAGTACACCTCTCTACTTTGCACCTATCTAAACCAGCCAGGCATTTGCCTGGGTATACGCTGTTGAGACATAAACTCCCTAAAGCAGTGAAGTGCAAGACACTTTGCAATAGCAGCTCTGCCGCTGAACTCAATTCTGCAAAGTCCTTAGGCCCAACAAAGTTCACGAGCACTCTCCCTTCAACTGCGACAAGGTGTTTTACATCCTTAAAGTAAGTGTATGCAGTACAGGCTGTGCAGGTTTGTGGCTCCATCCCCTCGCAGATGGCAACCTTTATTAGGTACAAGTTTTGGCTACTGATTCTGACAACTGCCATTCATCCCAAAAAGTGAAAATTAACCACTTGCACAGGGTGGGCGTGAAGATTAAACAGCATGCAAGCCTTGTGCAATGGCCTTGTTTTTGGACTCAATTGATGACCGAGAAAAAACAGACAGGAGCACTATAGGGCTGTCTCAAGAACAGTGTGCTACCTTTTGAGGGTTCAGAGAGTTGTAAAAAATCTTTTCAGTTCTTAAATTGTGTTTACAGGCCCTGTGAATACAGAGATGCATATTTTACCATAACAAGACATAACTCACATGACTAATTGCAATTTCCTTGTTATTTTATACCCTGTGTAGCACCAGACAGCTTTCTGTTTATGTTGTTTGATGCTTGTGCATAAATTCTCGGTAACCTCAGGAAACTTAGGAACTCAGGAGATTTTAGCAAGTCTTCTCCATCCCCCTGTGATTCCTGTGAATTCCGTACAGTAGGTACATTTCAGTAAGCAGCTGAAGTAACAGGGACTGGGGTCTCTATAGCAGGATTTAGCAGAAGTTGGCAAGAGGTGGAATATCTCCTAGGAAATGCTCTCACTTTCTTGTGAGCTGAGCTTTTGCAGGTCTGTTTGGTCTCTGGGCTGAGTCACAGATATTGTTAGAAACACACAACGTTTAGGGCATAAACTATTCAAAATTCATAGCTTATGAAATGGAAAGACCTGTGAAGGTCTTCAACTAGGATGCAAATGGTGCATAGGACCTTCTGCATGGTGAGGAATAACATCTGCCATGGCTAAAATTAGTCTGGGTCTCTCCCACAATAACAGGAAAGAAGCCAAGACGCAAACTGAATCTGAGTTTATGTAAGAGATTTCAGAGGGACATGGATTTCATCACAAGCCTGATGATGTAGACGTTAAAGATTATTTAAGCAAAAGGGAGGTTAAAGATGCAGAATGTGGTCTTCAGAGCATCTCCGCCCTGTTGTCAAAAGTGACTGGAACTGCGTTCTGGTCACTGACCTGTTTTCTGAGAATTGTATTCAGAGACATGTCACCTAGACATGCAGACACTCACTGCAAGTCGCTCCTGAAAACTGAATCTGGACATTTCTTGAAATCACATCAATTCTAACACAGTGATACCTAGCCCAACAGACAGGAACGGCTGATGGCTAGCTAGCTGCAAAAGAGGTCCTTTCACACCTTTACAGCACAGAAATGGATTATTTTCCCAGTAAGTTCTTTATATGTTGCTTGGGTTTAGATCTTGTAATTAGCTAACCAAAATTAAATTTTGAAACAAGACAGTACTGGAACGTTGATCATTTGGGTTCTTATTTCTAGGGGCACACAGGTCACAAAGGAGAACCTGGCGAAATAGGAAAAGAAGGAGAGAAGGTAAGCTCCATTTTAAGCGGGGGGATAGGACAGGATTTTTCTCTTTAAAAGCACCATAGGAAAGTATTTCTTCAAGAAGAGAGGAAGAAATGAGGCAATTGGCTGAATAACAAAGTGGAGTTGAGTTTTTGATTGGGCTTGTCGTATGACTGAAGTGTAATCGCTTCCGTGGCTCTGTATGTATGCCTGTGCGTTAATACTTCAATAAGATTCACCTTTCCAGTAATCATAGTGTTTGAGATCAGCTTCATAAGTTAACTCCTATTGTTTCCTATGCAGGGATGTCAGCTCAGGAAAAAGCCCTGCATTAATCACTCAGGTCAATTCCTGACTGGTCAAGTGTTCTTGCACATAGAAGAAGCTGTGCGTAATGTAGGAGCAGACTCTGAAGCAGAAACTGGGGTGGGAGGGAGCTCAAGGAGACATAAGATAGGAAGATGTCTGGATTTGGGTCAGCAGCCTCAAGCAGTCTCTCTTCCTGTCTAATTCATTTTTCTCTCTCAGGGTAGTCCTGGCCCTCCAGGTCCTCCAGGCATTCCCGGCAGTGTTGGCCTACAGGTAACACCTGCTCTTCCTGTTCCCATGACCTTTTTACTGTAAATTAGCATTAGTCATTCTGCATTGCAAAAACAGCTCACGCCTCTGCATGGTAAGAGATAGGAAAGACAGTTGATGCTGATGGGAAGAATCCTGCAGGCTTCACTGAGCTTTGACTCAGGTCCTGGTATTGGCAGCTCACCTTGGATGAAATATCCAAGCAATAGCTGTTTTTTTGTTGCTACTCTTTGCCTGAATCTGAGCCTGAGCTCTGGGCTGGCTTGAGAGCCTGGCAAGTGGCTTGAAGAGAGAAGGCACTCTGAATGCCTGTCCTGTAGGGAGGATTCCCTGCAGCATCACTTGCTCAGAGATTGTCACCAACGGAGGAAAAGTCTTGTCTGTGCATCAGAAGATCGTTTTCCACTGCTCCTCACTATTTCTATAATCGTTCTGTGTTGTTGAGTTGCTATATCATTCTGTTCCACCATTTTATATTTTAACAGTGATTGGATTTTAATTGATTTCTTTTCTTAATTAGGGTCCAAGAGGACTAAGAGGACTTCCTGGTCCAATGGGTCCAGCCGGTGACAGAGTAAGAAAAACCTTCCCCTGATTTTCTCACTCCACCTCCGATTTCCCCCTTGCAAAGTCTGGATGGTGGGTGTACGTTTGTCTTTACTGAAGACCCCTGGGGAACTTGTAACGATGCAAAGTGTAGGCCCTTTCCTGCACATCTTCCAGGCAGACCGTTCCTCCAAAGGCAGGAAGAGTCTCTCTGCCTGAGGGATTCACAAAATCAGGCCTGGTGTTAATTTAAACATTTAGACAAGGACAAAGCGCTGCCCCTTCAGGACTGACAGTGCTGCAGAATCTTGCAGAAAACGGAAGTGTTCATGAACGTTTCACTTTCTGTTGCTATCTCCTTACAAGAAAAAACCCGAAGAACTACTGACTGGACAAAGATTTTTCAGGACATGCAAAGTCTGCAGAAACACCAGGATTTCAGGTCTAGTGCTGCACCAAAGACTTCAGTGAGAACTGGATTAACCTCTTGCTAATCATGGCCTTGGTCTTTTGCCAGGGTCCCTTGACTGTTGGCCTAGAAGCTGAACAGTTTGAGTTTGATAAAGCCATGCCTTTATGTAAGAACAAGTGTGTTACCAAGATACCAAGGCCATGAATGATATCAGTATATCACAGAGGTAATGGTAGGGAGATCCACAGGTTTTTTTTAAAAAAAAAAAAAGAAAAAAAGAAAAAAAAAAGCTTATTCAGAAGGGAATCTTTTGCAAGACTAATATATACAAACTAGCAAGAAGCATGAGGTGTCTTTTCAGGGTGTTCAGTGTTTTCTTACACTGCAATGTAAGGTAGGGATACTGTTACTTTACCCTCTGCCAATAACAGCATTACAATGACATATTATTCTTTGCAGGGTGACATTGGTTTCAGAGGGCCACCTGGAATCCCAGGACCTCCAGGAAAAGCTGTATGTATCCATTTCTTGGTAGCCTCGTGGCCTTGTTTTCCATAGTCAAAGCCTAAAGTTTGCCTTTCCTGCACTAAATTCATTGCTGCCAGTGAACAGTAGGGATGTGTTGACCATCTCTATCAGATTATCCCCTTTGCCTTTTTCCCTCCAGTTAAATCAATATCACTTCACCTGACCCAGATTGCATGATATCTTTCCCTCAGTTGTGTCCATGACCATTCTGCCAGAATAAGTTTACCACCTTTCCGTTGCTCTTTGTTCTTCACCGCTTTTCCCTGAACATTAGTAGCTGTGGGCAAATGCGTGTAGACCTGTGTTTCTCTCCTTTGTTATACCTTGGTAAAGTTCTTGGGAAGAAGAGATTTGGGAAGACTCAGTAAGTGCTGTCCTGAAGCTACCTCCTTTGGGCCTGATCTCTGGGTAGATCACAGCTTACAAGAACTTTTGCTAGAAGATAGAAACAGCCAGCTGTGCATTAAAGATGCAATCCACATCTATTTGCAAAGCTCTGAGGTGAAGAGAAGTGTAGGAGGACTCACAACCTGCACGCTTACCTGTGGGCAGATCCCCTTACCCTCTTTACTGTGCCCAAATATGAGACTAGAGATGCATCTGCAGAACTATGGACTCTCTAACAGCATTTTCCACTGCCCGCTGGCCAGTCACCCAGCCTCTTCTTAGTGTAGTTCATATAACATCCATTTTATAGCAGACACCTTCATTTATTTGTGGCAGCCAACACGCCACAATCTGTGGTGACCCCAAGGCAGTATCACTCCCTGGCGATCCTTCCCTAGTCTTTACAATTACAGAATAAATTAATCTGAACTACAATAAAATGAGGGACTTACTGTCCATCAAACTATTATGCCAAGAAGGACGTAGGCAGTAAATATTAAAGTTTTTCCTCTAACCCTGTTTCTGTATCGATTAAAGAAAGTGCTTCAGAAAACGAAGGCAAAGATGGTCCCTGCCCTAAGGGATTGCTAACAAAGTCCTCACTGCAATGTGTCTGTGCATCAGGAGTTGACTGTAATTTCTCAGTTACACACCCCCCAGAGCTTAGAGTGTATACTTGTGCCTGGCAGTGGTAATGCCAGCAAACAGCACAAAGACTTCATCATTTACACACTTTAAATACTAGTCTTTGTCACTGCAGTGAAGATGCTTAACGGCTTTTCCCCTATTGCTACAGGGAGACCAAGGAAACAAAGGACCTCAAGGATTCAGAGGGCCCAAAGGCGATACTGTAAGTGCAGTAAAGCACCAGTCTGCTCAAATATTGAACATGAGATTCAAAGGAGTCTATTTGACAGCTTTGTTTTGCCTTATCCTCTTAGTTTATTTTTTAGTGCTTTACAGCATCCCTTCTTAAAGCAGAGTGGAATTTGAAAACTTCCTTGTTACCAGTTGAGAGGCAGGTACAGGGAGATGACACTGGCAGGGACTATCTGGAAGTCCTTGCTGGAAGATAGCTCTTCCCTGTTGCGCTGTCAGCACTCTGTGTGCTTTCAGTTGTTTTATTTAAGTCTGCTTGTAAAAAGGGACTAATTGTTCTTATATATCCTTCTAAAGCAATTTGGGAACTGTGAACGAGAAACACTAATTAGTGGAAATATTTTTCTAGACGTTTTACAATTTTAAAATTAATTGTTGTTTTTCTTAAAAAAAAAAAAAATATATCAGTATACCTACTTAACAAATAGTTTTATGGGAAACTGTATTTTCTTTCATGGGAAATCCTACATTCCAGGGTGTATTATTATTGACCAGAGGTTTTGACAAGTTATTGGGTGCACCATGGCTAATCTGTTATGTCTTTTTGCCTGCGGTTCAGATCAGAAGCAGACTAGAGGTTATCAGGAATATGCTTCCCTGTCCTTTAACCTATTCTATTGGTCAGATATTTAATCTTAAATATTTCCTCTCAAACACAGCCCACGTGAAAGAGACGAAACCATTTCTCTCAAAAATGAGATACTTATGTCTTGCTGGTGATGAAGAGGCCTAAATGCTTCCTACAATCTGCAGCATGGAGCTTAGATCTTATATCTTCATCCTTGAAACAACAGAGAATTTTCTCAGATGCTGCAGCTAACGTTATGTCAGTTTGCTGGTATGCCCTAAGAGAACCACCACCCCTATATGATCAAGATCAAGAGCTAGCACAGACTGGATGAAATATTCCTACAGAGTTTGACTGTTATGTTTTGTTTAATGGTGGTTTTTAAGGGCCGTGTCCTAGATAACACGGGATTTGTTACTGATTTCTAGGGTAGACCTGGACCAAAAGGAAACCCAGGGGCTCGTGGACTCATAGGAGAACCTGTAAGTCAATTAAATAGGATGCAAGTCTCTCTGTCTTGCTTACAGATAACAAGATAAGACATGGTAGGAGAAGTCTTGCATCTTACAGTCTGTGTTATCAAGCTTCTACCCTGCATGTCTATTTGTGCAACCTTCAATGTGGTCCTGGTTGGACCAAACCCTAGGAACCCTAGCTGGCCTGCTGTTAATGACAAATCTCCCTTTCTTCCAGTAAGCCTAGAGCTGGGCCCATTGCCAAAAGGTTCTTTGATGTGAATGTATTTTGCAAGCCACAATGTCTGTGTCCTGACCTTAACCTGCACTGTGCGTGGTTGTAGGGCATACCTGGCAAAGACGGACAAGATGGAGCTCCTGGACTCGATGGTGAGAAGGTTTGTAAAGTCCTACTTAAACACTGTGCAGAAAGATTTCTGTTAGGGTCTCGTGCATGTTACAAAGCTACTGATGCTTGTAAGGAAAGAGCATAGCTGGAGAGCTTTTGCTTCTAGAGAGTTTTCAAGTAAACTGCTGAAGAGGAGTAAAGTCGCTCTCATTAATTAATCCCAAGGAAATTCCCTGAAGAAAGATGTGCATATGGGCCATGCACATATGATCTAAACTCAGCTAAGTCTCTCTACGTAGTTGATCCTCTTGGCTGACTCTAGGCCTTCAGAGATGCTTTTTCAGAGCTGTTGACAGAGGCATCTGTTTATTCTAATTGCATGGAGACAAAGTGCTGTCAGGTGCTAGTTGCCTGGTTTTTGAGTGGTGATCCCACAGGAACATGCTCCCTGCGTTGCCAAGGAAGGAAGAGTCTTGGATTGTTAAGACTGGGAGCTGTGAGAGGATGAGGGAAACACCTGCAAGCACTGAGCACCCAACTGCCCCTTGTTTCCAGTGGGTGCTGAGCTCCTATAGGCATCATTGCAAGCTTACTCCAAGTGCTGCTCAGTGCAATGCCCGTTGTGCACTCTGCAGGCACAACAGGCTCTCAGATCTACACGTGCCAGCAGTGGGGGGAGATTCAAAATGCCTGTGAATGTCTCCCTACGTGTGTCAGACCATTTCCAAGTGACAGGGGTCCCTCCTGAACTCTCAATATCCACAGGGTGATGCAGCTCGCATGGGTGCTCCTGGAGAGAAGGGCCCAAACGGACTTCCTGTGAGTATGGCAGCACAGTCAAGTGCCCTCAAAGCATTACAGCAGCTTGGCTTTTCACAAATATACGTTGTGGGGAGACGAGAGATTTGTTTTGTGCACTGTCTCGAAAGGGGCCCCATTTAAGCCAAGACGAAATACACTTTTCCCGCCATACAGAGAGGAAGTAGTATATAAGACACAGCGGAATACGTGTGGAGTAACACTAGATAGTCATATAGTAGTACCCTGGCCTTTGGCCAGTCTCGCTTAGTTTAATATCTCGATTTGAGGGGGACTTTTCTTTCTACATCCCAGTGATGTGCATCCCTTATGCAGGGAGCTAAGATCTGGGCTCCAACTGACCAGGATTCAACAGTATTCCGAGCCGTGTCCTTGGCTTACTCGGTGTTCATGGGCAAAATATCTCTCTCCAGTCTCCCAACTGTTTAAATGGAGGTAAAGTATTCCTTACTTCCTGTCTTGCAGAATATCCTTGGAGGGAGGTTTCTGCAGTGCAAAACGCTGCTGCTGCTGTTTTATTTGTATATTCCTCTTCTTTGCTCTTATTACAAAGCAGTAGCGTATTTACAGCTGCTAGGACAGTGAACAAGAGGGAAGTTGAAGCCATCATTTTCGTGGCAAAAACTGCAGAAATGCAGCTCCTCCATTGCTTTAAGCAAACGTTATTCCTTGTATGTCAAATCAAACCAGAACAGCAAATGTATTAACTCTACTGCTTCTGACACTTGCTTTGTTTTTTTTAACAGGGATTGCCTGGAAGAGCAGGTATTAAAGGCTCAAAGGGTGAACCAGTAAGTGAATCTCTGTAATGATGAGTTTTGATGGGATAGCTATTAACTGTGTTGTGTCAAGGCTTTTCATCTTTGAGGGATTAGTGCCCCCAAAGAGAGGACTTACCCCAAAGTGAGGGTGCCAGCATTCC